GCCGTCCTCTGAACGCCCCTTGGGGGGCGGTACCGCCCACGTTGAGAACCGCTAGTTTAGATGCTACTTCGTTGGCCACATTTCATCCTCTGCTCCTCCATCATGTGGGGTGACACAAGGCTCAGTTCAGGCATCCTAGAACTGCTCTTTATTTGTTTCCACTTGGCTGCATATTAAAGAAACATGTTTCTTTAATAACATGATGATGACAGATTTATTTTCCTCCTGAGAATAAAGATGGGAGCTGCCCTAAGTCACTATATTTTGTCTCAAAAGGCTTTCCTCCAGCCTTGCTGCCTGCCCAGTTTCTCTCTCAGCATCTTATCAATTTAGAGAAATGAACCTTTTTTAAAATAAAAACCTTATTAGATCTTCTCTCTGAACAGAGATGGCTGTCTTCAATTAGTCTGATAGTTTACTTTGTCACACTTTGGATTTTATTTGTCCTCTTATCCGAACTGAAACCTTTATAATATTAGATCATTTTGATTCTTTGTAGCTCATCTGAAAACTATGGCTTTAGTTAAAAATGGAAAGGAAAACATATCCACAAGATCTCCTTGAGAAGTGAACTTAATGACTGGTATGAGCCTGATGCCCTCCAGTGGACAATGTGGGGTATTGTGTTGATTTGCTCTGCAGGTTTTTGCACAGGGTTCTGGTGTTTCCTGTCACTGTGGGCTGCAGAGCGCAGTAGTACACAGCAGAGTCTGACGGACGGAGATCCTGGATCGTCAGGTTAAACTCTGAGTTGTTGACCTTCGCATCAAATCTGTCTTTGCTGAACTCTAGAGCTTCATCTCTCATTTTAGCATATTCTTTCAGCATGTACTTTGGGAAACTGTTTTCTTCTTGTTTATACCAGAACAAGGCATAATTTGTACCACTGGCTTTAAAAGTACATCCCAGAGTCACTGAGCTTCCTGCAGCAGCAACAACTTCTCTTTCTGTCTGCGTCACTGAGTCTCCTTTACACTCTGGGGAAGAACAGAACATGCAGAGGAAGAGATGGATCAATAGAGATGATTGATTAAAGGAGAACAATCAGCAGCTTTCCAGACTTCTCCTCCATGTGGAGGAAACATGTTGATCTTTGTATCTTACCAGAGAAAAGAGCAGAAAGAATAATCCACAGCCAATGTTCCATCTGTCCAACAAGGTTTAAACCAGCAGTAGAAAGCAGCTGATGTTCAACATTTAGTCTGACTGTTGTTCTCTTCACAGCACCTCTTCTTATTGACACGATGCTGGAGCACAGAGCACAAGGAGAGCGCCGCCTGCTGGAGCATGTCGCCCCCTGGTGGCTGCTGTGGAGTACTGCAGGTTTTAGTGGTTTAACAGGGAGTGAGACCCTCTAGTGGCTGCTGTGGAGTACTGCAGGTTTTTGCACAGGGTTCTGGTGTTTCCTGTCACTGTGGGCCTCACAGCGCAGTAGTACACAGCAGAGTCTGTCACTGCAGCAGAGGAGATCAGCAGATGAAACGTCTTCGTTGTTTTCTCGTGTCTCAATGAAAGCCTTCCTGTTGTGTCTGAATATCCTGAGGTGACCAGCTGTGGAGATGAACTGGGCGTTTGTCGGTACCACAAGAGCAGGTTTACTGTTCCTGAATAGTTGCAGGACAGAGTCACATTGTTTCCTTCCAAATCCAGCTGATCGTCTTTAAATGGTGTCAGTAAATCCTCAGAGGATCCTGGAAACAACAGATTGATATTTCAATTTGACCAAACTCAAAGCTCCAGATGTTTCCTGCCTACTGTCTCCTTCTCCACCTGCTGCATCTTTAGATGACTTACCTGGCTGGAGGCAGAAGGTCATCATCATGCAGGAGAAAAGCAGCAGCAGCATTATTTCCCTGGTACTGACAGAAGAACAGAGAGACAGCAGCAGCTCTTCAGCTCCAACACAAAGTCTGTCAGAGTGGAGCTCCTCCCCTCACTGAGCTCTGGCTGCATTCAGCCTGGTGACGGCCCGTCCCATTAAACCCAGTCCAAACTCAGACTGAGTCTGCTAGAACCAGTCGGAATGATTCAGACCGGGATCTGGAGGGAACGCTGCAGCTCTTCAACAGCCGGATTAACGTTTCTCATTTGTTCTGCCTGGGAGACAAGAACTTCTCTGGCACCTGGTCTGTGGAGTGACAGAGTGCTGGAACACAGAACCACAGCAGAGGACAGAACCTGGTAACGCTGCCCTCTAGTGGACCTGAATGGCTGAGGGGAGCAGAGAGGAGAAAGGCTGCATGAGAACAAAATGTCCAGAGGAAAAATGACCAAATATTAATGCAAATAAAACATCAAAAGTAATTATACAAAGTAAGTCCAAGAATGCCACTGATACTTTACATTAGTACACACTTTCAATATTTGTCTGCTTTTTATGAGTCCCACGCACAGGTGTGACCTTTCCCAAAGTTTGCTGTGAGCTTGGTGGGCCCCATAAGGGATAAACGTGAGCAACACTGTAGGTCAAATGGGGCCCACCGAGGTATGTTGGCTGGGATTATTGTAGTTTTCAACACTTGGTTGATTTAGTTGATATCTGTCTGCAGTTTGTTCATGTTAATGTTTGGCTCTGGTGTCCAGCAGGTCCGCCGCTCGGACCTGCTGTCTTTACAACAGACTGCTGTTGTAAAGACAGTGGCCGCTGTGGAGAACTGCAGGTTTTAGTGGTTTAACAGGGAGTGAGGCCCTCTAGTGGCTGCTGTGGAGTACTGCAGGTTTTAGTGGTTTAACAGGGAGTGAGGCCCTCTAGTGGCTGCTGTGGAGTACTGCAGGTTTTAGTGGTTTAACAGGGAGTGAGGCCCTCTAGTGGCTGC